CGGAGCTTTCGGCACACATAGGTCAACGTTTTGTATCTGGTTCCCACTGAGTAGCTCGAAGTGATACCTTTATCCCCGCTCGTTTTTTTGTGGGAGAACAAGTTTCACTCGAAGGAAAAACAAATGTGAAATTCGGAATTGGCAATGTTTGCGTAATCTGTTGTGAAACCAATACGGAATTCAGGTGTTGGAAAGGGGAGAACGAAATCAGCTATGCTTTCTATCCTGAGATTTACGTCTCACAGTGTAGTACAACGCGAAAAAGGTTTAACCTTGGGATGGAATCACAAAACATTTCTTTCTACATTAACGTCAAGCGTAAATAAAGCCCCATCTGAAAGTACTTATGAATAGGCGAAGATCAATAGCTGTGGGTGATTCGTCACTCACTACCGCGTCGCAAGATTCACAAAAATTGTGGCTTTAAGGTATATTTCTAGCTGTACGGGGGCTGTTATGAAGAAAACTTTGGACCGCAAGCAACAATGGATTTGACATCGTCTCATTTGGAAAACCAAGCAAAGGACACTAGCCAGGGGACACGAACCCGAAACCTCCACATAACTGAAGGCTGTTCAATCAGCTGAGCTACCTCCAACAGCGCACACGGTTCAAACGCCGGGAGCGGCCATTCGTCTCAGAAAGGAAAGGCCACAGCTCGAAAGATCTTAACCATTTGGGCATGAAGTGCTAAGCGGAAGGTCTAGCGTTCGTGTCGTGAAAAAGTCGCACCCAGGAAAGATCTTAACCATTTGGGCATGAAGTGCTAAGCGGAAGGTCTAGCGTTCGTGTCGTGAAAAAGCTAAATCGCACCCAGGAAGACTTCTGTCAAAGCCACGTTCACAAAACATGAAAAATTCTCAAATTAAAATGTGTTATTAAAAGCTGACAAGCCTTCCAAAAACAGAGACAATTTCAACCAATTTCACGATGGGTACACCATTATTGAATTTTTTAATCGGCAGCAAGAATGCAGTGATACCCAACGTTTACACATCTTTATCATACCATGATTCTGATCCATCCCTGGCTTAGGCAATTTGAAAGCATTTCAGTTGTGATGTATGGATCAGAAACATGGCATTTACGCGCAGAGGACATACGGAAGATGTCAGTGTTTGACAAACGATGTCACCGAAGCATTCATCACACCAGGGGATCTTAGGAAGAAGGAACTGTTCCTCACACTGGTTGGGACATCCCAGGACACCGTCTGCCTCACAGAGATCTTTTTACCCAGCCCTGTACTGACTGGAAGCGACCGAGAGGTGGACGGTGTAAAGAAGTACGAAAACACTAACCAGTAACTGTCGCCTCCCTGTATGGGGACCCCGGGATTCAACTCACCAGTGGTTAGTGATATTGGCAGAAATAGCCCAATCGCGCCGTTCATGGCGCTCGAGCATCAAAGCTATCGCTCTTAATAGGTAGCTACCCAGTTCCAGAACTAACCGAGGCTTGGCTGTCTCACTCTCCACTTTTTCTTTGAACATGGTTCATGGATGATAAATTGGGTTGATTGAATTGATTCAATCGCGGTACTTTCTTCTGGTTGTACTGCATCCATGTACTGAAAGAGTACTACAGATGAACGGTCTCATTATTCGAGTACGGGGTCGAAGCACTTACATTTCGTTAGAATTTAAAGTCGGAAACAAGGAGTCACAGGAGAAAAATCCCCAAGAATGAAAATAAGAACTGGCACCATTCTGTTTAAGGCCTGACGGTAAGCAATGGATAGAAAGTGTGCTGTCACCAAACTGCGCAAAAAGACAAAACGTTGTGTTTACCTGTTCAAGCAGCGTGATAACATCACCTTGATGAAAAGAGAGTTCGAACGGATTTTCCGCCTCAAAGTCATACAAAGCCTGACACCTGGGGACACGTGATGAATCATCTGTAAAGCAATGGATGGGAAATTAGAATGTTGACAAAAAAGGATCGGTGAAAAATACTTTCAGACTAAATTCAGAGGCTCATTATGATGAAAATTGTCAATCACTTCAATGCTCGTTGTCAATCACTTCAATGCTCAAAACTCCCTTTATCGATCGCTTACTCTCCGAATAGCTGACAGTTATTCGTTCCATTGCGTGCACCTATTGATTGCATGTGTAATCATCAAATCAATCAACATAACACATGAGTAAACTATGCATCTATGGTTACTGTGCGTGGAGATAAACTACACGGGAAGCCTAGAAGAGTAACAGGTCAACTCAGTGATTCTGTCACAACCGGCTGTTGTCGGTAATTCAGTTCACCTGTAACACACCATACAATGACCAGCAAATGAACCTGTCGGTGTGTGTGAAGAATGACCGCACTGGATTGTAAGGCCGACTAGCATTGCTGCTCACAGACACCTATTATCACTTTCACTCTGATTGATTGTGCTAAGCCTACCGGATCATAACAACGCCCGTAATGAAAAGGTTCCCCGTTTGAGGAGCGCTTCGGAACCCACGACTGGAGACCGTTCAATCCGATAAGGTATCGGTTTCCCTAACTTTTGCGGTCATAAGTATATCTGAGGCTGCACACCTGGGTCATTGAGTGATTAAGTGATAAACAAAGACAGTCGATCGTGTGGCAACCAAACACGTTTGCTTAGTTTGGATACCCCCACACAGCCAGAAATGCCGTGGAAGAGTAACACTAGGATTGTCGCACCGAGGGCTCTCCAAGCGACTGCCCAAACAGAGGGCCACGCTGATTTTTGACAGCAATAGGTCAATATAATGAAAAGGTTCAACCAAATGGTCTTGCCATCCTTATTATCATATTTTGACAAACTGTAATCTGACTTCGAATAGGCTTTCACAACCCAGTCACCATTGGAACCGCTCACGTTTATTTCGTTCTAAATCCTGCTTCCCGCACTTGAAACGCTCACCAAAACACTTCAGGGTTGTGTGCTACGGGCGAACATTGAACAACACAGATCGCCGCACCTTCAGCTAGGGAACACTGAAAACGACAAATTTATTCGACGATCGCTTGAGTTTTCCATCCACACCTGTTGAGTATGTAAATGAATTATAAGTGCAACTGTCACCTTTCTTTGCTCATGACCCACTTGTCAGTCGGTCGATCGATAGTCCACACGCTTCTGGTTAATCAATGACGGTCACGTGACCAACTGTGGTGTGATATTGCCCACTGGTTCATTAAGACCGAAAATCCAGGGACAAACTATAGTGTTGGGAACGGACAGTGTTGCGCCATTAATTTCTGACCAATACACAACGCACGAGCTACAGGCGACTCAATGGGAATCCTTTTCGGAAATGCTCGTTGTAAAACAACCAAAGGAAAAGAAGAGTCTTGATTGAGCACAGCCAATAAGTACCATTGAACTAACCCATGTGAGTGCCACTCGATTGTGCTTGAGCTGTCATTAGGTGTTCCTTGTATTAGGTAACCTGTAGTAATTGATTTACTTCAAGTGAACACACCAAAACATGTTATAAGCTACCTTCCAAAGGAAATGTCATTTTTAAAGAGTCGATTCTAGATATACAGAATCCTGTCCCACTGCAACCCCACAGAACCGGAGATGGCACCTTCTGGTCCCCGTTACTGTCCAAAAGGGGATGAAAACGGTAGAAACGAACTTTATAAAGGTCCATACTGCATGATTGATGTCACAAGGGCGCTAAAACATGAATTCACTATGTGGTGGGCTATTGTTCACTAAACTTGCTTCAAATCGGCAGCCACTTTATCCTGAGATACGTGCATGACAAAATTGGTTTGGCCACGCCACAGTTGATAAAATGAATTAATGGGATAAGGTAACACAGAATAAATCGACATTCATCGCGTTTTCATGACGTCGGTTCTGTTAGCACTTGGAAAATCGGTAGAGCAGGTCGTACTGATGGCCGGCGACTTGCCCGCTGAGCTTGGAAAGTGGCTACAGACTTTCGTTCACCAATGGAGTGGAAGTGTACTGCTAAATCAACGGCTCTACCGCTTTTGTTTAGTGGCCCTCACTGTAGTTGAGCCCGGTGGCGTTCCTTTATCAGAATGTTGTTCCGGAGCCATTGCTCCATATCCTCACCCCAGGATTCACTTAACCATCTGATGAAAACTGAGATATTTTGAATACGGGTGTAATGGTGGGTACTACTGAGGGAGACATGCAAGTAGTATGTTTCTCGTAGATCCGCTTCACGTCTCTTGAAAATTGAGATCTATTACGGAATTTATGGAATCGTACTTGCTCGCATTTGAGCAACAGTTGATGAATATCCAGGAAAGTTCAGAAAGACGCGTTCAAGGAGAAGATGGATATTCAGTTACTGTAAACAAGATGCATATGGGAGTTTTGCTTCCCTGTCCAATAATCTGTAACTGTTCAGTTAGCGTTTTCCGCAGCGAAGGCCTTCTTCCTTTCACAGGTAGTATTTTTATCTGGGATCCTCCTTGGGGTAGCGGTAATCCGGAGTGGGTGAAGTATTGGTCTATATGACGTTGAGCTCAAGACCCGGTTAGGCAACGTATTTCTAACTCCGAGTTTCTACAGGTGGAACCCTTTCGGAGTTGTAGCCTAGCTTGTCCCGGATCATATGTCCTAGTGTCCACAGTAAGTTTCTGAAGTCTTTATTCATCCAGACTAGGGCGCCGTGGATTAAAACATCTCGTTCCAGGATCAAACCAAATGATCTTTCTATCCAGGCCCTTAACCGCCGAAATGGCAATCTACCATCACAAACCCTGATCGTGATCCGATCCTTCCGGCAGGACCGACGATCTTCAAAATTAAACACTCAAAGCAACCGGACGAGAACGCAGTCACCTGGTACATCGAATATCGTCTATTGGGCGCTCGGAGCGTGTCAGGGGCACTTCCATATGAGTGTGGCAAAACCAAATGCCCGCACATAATTCCCAAAACTCTCATTAAGATCGAAATTCCCACAATTACATCCCACTCGAGCCGATCTTTGCTCCAAATCGTCACCGTGACCAATCTACTAAATTAATCAAACAAGAAGTTGTAATGTCAGAATGAAATAAGTTTGCCAAGAAATGCGTTGAACAGTACTGGGATAAGTCTTGGAATGATGACTTTTAACCAGTGAAGACTGTCAATTTTGTGTTTACAGACCACTTCCATAGGTCAATAGTCCATCGGTCAACTGACTTTCGTTCAATTTCAAAGTCCGACTCAAAGTCTGAGGATACACTATTGGAGAAACGTCTCGAATCGGAGCAGGTTTCACTCGTTTCGACCACAACCCACAAAATTGATTTCCGATGTCACTGCCACCATGTGCACACAGTTTAGTCACACACTACACAAGATCCGCTCTAAAAGCTCACTCTAAAATCCCCACGGTAGAGTGAATCCAAATTTGTACTCGAAAGTCATCAGACGCTTTAGAGTAGTAGTCTGTTCAACTACGAAGAAGATGCCGAGAAAATGACGGGCACCAAATTACCCCCTCCCAACAACTACAAAAAAGCACGCCTTGGGATGCCATTTGCCAGACCCTATAGGGTGCCCATCACAACAAGGGTGTGTGGCACATGCTCGTATTTGAACATATAAAAAATAAAGTATGGAACGGTCAAACGTTTTCGGATTCTGGTCCAAATATTCAAGATTTCGATGAACTGACAAGGAGCAATTCAGTAGGTCGGACTTGTGCGGCTGTGCTACTTACAAGTAGCGCGTGCCATGCCACATGTGGGTCACCTGCACCTTTCAGCCAATAATCAGTTGAGGAGGGTGAACCCAGACGTCTAAGATGTGACTACCTGGTCGAGTGAAGGTGACTTTCTGCTACAACTGAGGGTATATGTGTATTGGCTGTTCATCATGTGACGTTTGTGGCCCATGAACAGACTTTACTTGACGAAATATTCGTTGCTCTGGTTATTTTGTTTGATGAACATCGCCGTTGCTTTTCAAACGGCTTTTTGCACTATCTGAGGAGACACAGAGGGGGTATGCGCGTTCTCGAGAGAACCTGTGAGCAGATTACATGTGCAATGACCAGCGGTAAAACAATGTCTTACTTTGGTTAAAACTGTTTATATTCAGGCAGATATTACTCGCTTTGGCCTGGTTAAAGGAGAGGTAGCGTGAATAAGTGCGTTTTGAGCTACTTACCAGAGTGTTTCGGTTTCAGTTCCACTCGAGGCGAGGCAGGCATGTTGCTATCCGCACACACGGCAGGTTTGGCAGCCGCGGCTTTCGCTACGCGTGCACCAGGATTGTTGCGACTAGAGTTGTGTGGATAAAATCGAAAACACAGTGACATTTCGCTGTAAAATAAACTAGGATCAAATATGATGTTTTTTGAAAGCAAAAAGTCGGTTCATGATGTGCGGAAGATGTATGACTACCCGGAAAACTATGCCAGTTGACTCTGGAGGGCTGTGTATGCAGTAGGCTTATGACCAATGCAATGTCTCGTGTACGTCTAAAACTGGGCACTCCCACAAGACACCCGGAACGTCACCGCACTCCTAGCGCCACGGTAACAGTCAGCCTGCAAAATAATAGAATGGGTGAACGATCATTTGCTCCAACGGTAAGTGTCCTCAATCGGTTTGGGCAGTGGAGGACCTTCTACGGAATACATCTGCCTTACCATCGCCACTTGGCACCGGTGCGGGCAAATCCCTGAGATGCTAACGCAGAAGACCAAGCTCCCAAACGCCATACGAGGCACATTGTTTGCGCCAGCTCACAAAGATTCGCAGCAGACAGTGGTTGTGCTACTGAGAAAGAAAGCGCTCGGCGACCAAAACGAGTTTCGTCAGAGCCCTGTCAACACAAGTGAGAGGTCCGTCTGGCGACTGAAATAAATATACGTTTAACTGATGAAGCCATCCCTAAGATTAACAATACCAAGAACTGTGTAAAAGTAAAACACACCGAATTTAGTATGAACAGATGAAAAAGTAGCTGAAAGCAGCACTCTACTTAAAAGACTGAACCCTTGTGGAAAAAGGCAAACGCGTTTGACCGGATCGGATAGATCGTCCAGCTGTAACATCCTACCGGTGCCTAGCTGCCATGCTACCTGAAGGAAGTACGAGGACTGGGATACTACCAAGTTGCCCAACCCTTGACAGGGGAAGTCGAAGGGCAGAGGTCGGGTTCGAACCACGGACCTTTCGGTCAGTAAATTCGCGCTCTAACCACTTGAGTCATCTCGCCCCTCGTTTGACCGAATTCTGTCTAAATCAGTACTAAAGTACTAAATTTAATAAACTAACTGGTTTAATCCCCTTAAAGTTCTCTCGTTTTCAACGATGAAGGTCTGGTGACAAGTGGAAGGGAACTCGATGCAGTGTTGAGTTTACTATACCAGTACACTAAGTTATAACGAGATTAACGACATTTTACTGCCTTACAGATAAAGCATCACTTTCCAGCCTCAATGCTGGCCAGTAAAATGTTTCTGTCTCAGAACTAGAGTGAAATAGCAACATGGAGTTGAACTGCGAAATCGCTGACGTCGGATCATTGTCAAGTTTGTGGTGGCTTCCGCAGTTGGTTCTGCCCGCGAAGAATTTTCAGTAGCAAGTAGGATACAATCCACAGGTAAAATAGCTCAGCTGGAGTCTGCATGTAACTTGCGTTTTCACTTGTAGGCTATGCTGGGATAAAGAAGCTGCGTTTATCTGACGACAGGTTCAGGTATCACGCCTGTTTTCCATTGGATTCTCGGTCGTGTGATAGTAAGGCATTAGTGTGGGATACCGTTGTACCGCAGTGGTTTGCAATGAGACTAGTCGCTCCGACAGATCTAAGAAAGGGTGTTTTATCCCGTTGCTATTAAAGTACACCTAGGTGAAGAATGGTATCAAGTAGCAGTTCCACAATATGGTGTAGCTCACAAGTCAAGCCTCATTCAGACTGGCTGACCTCCGTTCTCCCCAGACAGTTTCCCGTGAGAAAAATAGGGCTTTTATGGTTAAAGACGAGTTCGAAGGAGTTCGGTAATTTATGGATCGAACCCATCTGTCCGAGCTGCAGCAACTTGTGTCTCAGTCCTCGAACTTTTCAATACACAGTTGGATGGGTTACGAGGTCTTTGGTTGCCAATATTGTTCGGAAGAGTAGCACTCAGAATGTTGCCAGAGAACTAAATCAGTGTGCAACTTCGGTTTCACCCACAAAACAGAAGTATCGTACCCATCAAAGAAGTTTTGCTCATAAAGAAGTTTTCTCACCCTTTTCATAGAGTATGGTTCAACCATCGAGCAAAGATGTTTGTACACCCACACGCGAGCGTAAAACCAGTTTTCCACAAAAAAAACTAGGTCCACTTTTTGATGAATTTTGTCCGTATATATGACATTGACACACGTTAACTGCTTATCACATTGAAATTCACGTTCTAAAAATGAACTGAAGAATTTTGTAAATTTTTTACAAAACTACAGTCACATGACTTGACATGAAGTTACCTCTTTTCGAAAATGACTTGGGCGCGCGATTTCCTGACAGAAAGTTGCCATACTGATTTGAAAAGCTAAATATAACACACGTGTGTGTTTGAGGTCCACTGAACTATGTGTCAGCCGTTGCTGTACAAAATATCAAAAAAGGGCCGTTGTTCACAAACCTCCTGTGGAACATTAAACACAAATCAATCCAAGTAACTCACGCTTCTTCAAGTCTGAAAAACAAGAGAAAAACGGGAGCGATTAGGCAAATGCGCTCCAGAACAATGCATCATTATCGGATAGAACTTACACGAATAAATTAGTTGTGCGGACTAAAATAAATCTACAGGGAACAAATTTGCTGTGTGTGTGTACTTGAGGCGTGCACAAGGTCGATTAGCCGTAATAGGGGTAATAGGCGAAAAATAACCTGGTTGGTGCAATGGGGACGATCAGAATAAATGAATTCGCGGGGTGAAATTGCACTTTAAGTGTGCAAATAACTAGCATAGCCTGCACCTAGCCAGTGAGGTACCCCAGCTATGAAAAGACGACGAATGATAGGGACGGAAGATACTTTCTTATCTTGGCGTGATTCTCAGATTGAGTCAAATCACAATTAGGTAAACTCTGGACGTGTACGAGTCGCCAGGAAGTTGAGATCCGTATCAGTGGAAAAGACTACGGAGTCAAGTCACATCACAGTATGCGATTCAACAGAATCATAACTAAACGGTACATTTTGGTATTATTGATGAGATTTTAAAAAATGAATAAACATATTAGGGTGGTAGCCTTACACGTCCGCTACCACGTCGATATTTGATAGGACCAAACGTAGTTCCGCCATTCAGTGTGACTTGTCAGTTGTTCGACTTTTTAATCGATCTCGAGGCCCCATTTGAACTACTAAAAAAATTCATCATCTGATTCTCTGTAGAATAGATGCTTCAGAGTCTGATCTATTTTCTTACTCACATCACAGCAATCTGTGATTCATAGTTTTCACTGTAGCTTGTTGGTCAGGTGACAAGAAAGAAATCAGCCAATCAGAAGGCGATTAAACAAGATCGAATCAGAGCTGTTCGAATAAAAGGAATCCCCACTACGGCAACCACCGAAAACGAAAACGACTGTTTCGGAGGGACGCGTGTTGCAGGGCTTGAAACGTATCCTCATCAATGACGCCGATGAGTCATTTTTTAGGTAACAGTTGTTGAACTGATGTATCCAACAGCACACTGCATGGGAGAGAAGACACGCATGGCGATACGCCTGAATCACTGACTACTAAATTACCAGACTGTCTTGTTAAACGAATGAGCGAGGATACCTGTTCTTCATCACTTACACGCTTGGAGTTTACGCGTGGTTTGCAGCATGTTCGGGGTTCCGTTCCCCATATTATGTGTGGTCGACTTTCTCTACTAAATTCCCGTTAATTTCGGACAAAAGCAACACAATAACCGGGGAGTTCGAGAAAATTCCAATCCAGGTGCTACCAGAAGGTCTAACGTGTTAACAGGGACGCCTAAGAATCCTAAAATGTTCGAATGGGCTAATGATCATGGAATATTAGATATGACATCTCGACACTAATATGAGCAACTCATCTGACACTCGGATGCGGGCTTATGGGAAAGCTGCCTAGTGATGTCAGTCCTCAGTCATATCCGGACTAATAAATCAATAAGGCATATTCATATCATCAGAAAAAGTTGCCCAAAACAGAAAGCCACGAATGAAGAAGGCCTTTAGCCTCTCTCAAATATGATGTCTTCTCGGAGGTATCGCACACTTAGTCAGAGCTGACGAACAGCGCTATTTGACTCCCGAGGAAATCGACCCACCTTCGGACGGAATACTAGAATCGCTTGAGCAAGAAGCGGAGTTTCTTAGATTTTGTAAAGCATTGGTCCGCCACACCCATTAGTACTCACTTGGACTGTAGACGAGTCTGTAAGTCCGACAGAACTCGCTGGGCATCTTGAAAGTAGCTCATCTGAGCACTTACAAAGTTTGATAACATTTCAATGTGTTCCGCCTAAAAACATAAACAAAAGAATTGAACGTGGTTCTCTAGGCAGCAACGGATAACAGTTGGAACCGATACATCCTGTCAACATGTTCGTAGTTAAAAAAAACGGAGGTAACAGGAAGGGTGAAACCAGCAGTAGGCTGTCAGAGAGTTATCGGCAACTTTATGAGTACTGCTTTTTTTGCAAAGAAAAACACCTCGAATATCGCACCAACTGAAACCTAACGCGACCCTGAACAGCACAGTCATTTGAAGAAAAAACATCATTCAAACGGATTTAGTTGAGCCCCCATCGAAACCAAATTGATTGCCAATGAGTGTAATTTGCGAATTGCGTACGACTTGCGTTTAAGCAGAATATAACGTTGATGGAACTAGGGGAATTGAGTCTGCCTGAGAACATCATAAAGGAGAGATTCAGCTGGGTTCCAGGTGAGTCTCTCGAAAGAACCAAATTAGTTTGCAAATGAGTGTATATTCGGTAATTTGGTGCAATTTGGTTTGAAGTAGAACATAAGGTTGACGGAAAACCGGGGACTGCGCCTACCTGATGAGCCCCAAAAAGGACGAAACCGGTCGTGGACTGTCGACGGATTTTCAGCAACCTTATGAGTAGTACATTACATAAATTAGATATTTTTCTTGCCAGATAGGGGGAAGTTGAAATAACCTGCTTGGATCTGATTCCGTTTTGACATCCACAGTACCCTGCACATGGTTTCACCTACCTGATAAGCCCCAAACCGGCTGTGGGGTGTCGAAGAGTTTTCAGCAACCTTGTGAGTAGTTTCCTTTATGACTTATGCTACTTCAAATTACTTGTACTCAGCCCTAATTCTCACACGTGAAACCCCTTACGCTAGGGCGAAAAAATTCAGCTTGAAAGAGTTACGAAATGATATGTTGAAAAAATGAAACGAATGATCGGAAAATTAACATTAAAAACTGGCTTATACATACTAGAAAATGGTATGGGACTGCGCGTAAATAACCAGTTACGACCCTACGCTTTCTGAATGTAGTGCTAAACTTTTTTTCGAAAAACACTCGTGATATCTCCGTTCGATCGGCCGTTGGAATTTCTCAGATGATAGGTTCTAGTGCCTCTGCATTACGTGCTGATACGGTGGTGAGCGAGGTGCAGCGACGATAGAACAACTTTCTTTCGGTACGTTCTTCTATAGCTCCACCCATAAGCAATTCCAGATCCGAGGGAAAAACATTAGAGACCGGTACTCTAACCATGTTGGGGAACGGAATTAGTGGCTGACAAGCCGTGTCCTTCGCCTGCAGTTCTGTGCTACCGTAAACTATAGTGTCAAAGTACCCACTGCTTTTTTCCTATGGTGGATGACGGAAGCCTTCTAGTTCCCATGGCTGTTGGAACCCACAACTCTGTGGCTTCGGTTCATTGGCGATATGAGACTTTTGCTCCTATCGAACCACAATTCATTTGTAGTTTCATCTGTGAAGACAAGTATATCGCACTTGCCGTCAACATCAATATCCGTGAAGGCTATTCCAAGTTGTATTTCCTCAAAATAGAAGTCACGGGTTGACTTAGCTGATTTCTTCTCCTTCCGACTAACCTGACGGAACTTTTGTGTCAAAAGCGAAACGTTGCACAGCAATAAGTCTATCGATTGTTTCCGAAAAGGTATCTTTACTGTTGTACTCGACTTTACAAAACTTGGGCCAATACTCTTCACTACTGTGGCGTTGGATCTCATTCGATCGAAACCAAACTTTTCCCCCGCAGTTCGGTTGATGATTACATGTGATAAATCAACGTATCCTGTGTAGTTAACTGTAAACAGGCCTTGTATACAAATCCTCATCAGTTATTGAATCTATGTGGATTCACGAAGCCACATTCAGGTTGCGATAACCGATCAGCCCACAATAATCCTAAATCTTCTATGTATGAACACGTTTCCTGGGGGGAGGATATATAACTGTGTGCTTGTTTCGGGGGTATGACGCCAGTATTCAGACCGAACGTGTTCAATATGGGGAAGCGGATCCAACATTAAACATGTCATTCAATGGAGTACAAAATTTCGTACCAGAGGAGTGTGCATACGTAAGAATAAAACATGAGACGAAAAGTATAGTGAGTTTTTTCTTATCCCGAGCCTCACAAAAGCCACTGTTTTTGGTAGAGACCATTCACACTGTTCAACTTTGGTTGCACAAATGCGTCTACCAACAACCGAAGAGCTTGAAAGATGCGAACTCCCAGTTAAGGTCACAATGATGTGAACATCAGTGAGTGGTTCAAAGAGGAAAGTAATTTGTCTGGCTTTGCTATGCTGTCGGATGAAAACAGTGCCAACCCCGTGCGACGTTGCTCTGCATTAGCGGGTACCCCCAACTCGGCTCAGCAACCGCACAACCGAATTCAGACAGATTCGCGTAGCCCAAAAATAAGGGGTAACAAACGCACGCCTAATGAATGAAACAGTAGTAAACAATGAACAAACTTGCGTACATCACTCTCCAAAAAGTTGGCCATTGCATCATGACTACTTTCGAAAGCCTCTTGAAATTGCCTTTGTGCTTCAACGTAGTCTGGGTGATTTGGGGCGAGTTTAGCTAGAAAAAAAAACGACAAACGACGATGGTTAACGCCGACATGTTCCGGGTCGTGAACTCGTCATCGAAATTTCATTTGATGTGAAGGAATAAACATCATAATAAAAGTGTATTTAGCAAATAACATCGTTCTGTTCGCTGTGGAGCGAGTGTCACTGAAACCCAGCGGCGTCTCTGATAGGTCGTATGATATTTTGCGGAGAATGGCTTCCTTGGGCGCGGTAATGGAGCTTCAAAATTATTACGGGGACAACAGAGCAGTTATCCCGGTAGTCTACGCTAACCTCATCGCTCCATGGAAAAGAATCCTTCCACAAATATCCAGCCCGCCCGACGAAGGTCGTTTGAAAGAAACCTTATTTCACAAAAAAAGAATGTCTACCAGACAAGACAGAAAACATGGCTAGAAGGTTCGATTTCGTTAGTTGAAACAGAGGATATCAGTACTTTAGTTCAGAAGCGCAGGACGAACTAAAGTCGAGGTTTTATGATGGTTAACCGCTTACGAAGTGAGATTTGATGCAGCCTGGGCTCAATCATCTTGACTGTTTGAAGAACGTTCTGCTTGACAACTATGGGACGGCCGCATGACGACCAGAGATAACCAGCTAAGTGGATCTGGTGGTTGACAGCAGCACTTTTCACGTGTAAAAAAAACTTTCAGCTGTAGCACCCTTTCGGTACCTAGCTGCCATGCTACACGAAGAAAGCACGAGGGCTGGGATACTGCCAGGTTGCCCAACCCTAGACAGGGGAAGTCGAGAGGCGGAGGTCGAGTTCAAACCACGGACCTTATGGTCAGTAAATCCGTGCTCTAACCACTTTGGTCATCTCACTCTTTTCACGTGTAACCCTAAGGTGAAGTTCATTCACCACACAGTTTACACAGAATCTGAAGATAACTGTTACAAGTTTGTGTCGAGCGGCCAGAAGTCCAGTCTGTCCCGGCTTATGCCGGATCAAATGTTTTCCCGAGAGAAACAGTTGGGCAACCGTTCGAAAACCCAGTAGTAGGGAGATTAAGCAGCTTCCGTGGGGACTGATATGTTGTGCCTGTTTTTCGTGCTAGATATCTGAGCATTCGTCCCCAATCATGGCACGACCAATTTCGCGAATATGATCGATAGCACTTCTGAAGAAACCACCAGCAGTTGAGAGCAACCAAACTCTCCAGAAACCAAGCCTGTACAGAAGAAACAAAAGGCGTGCCGATAAAATTCCTGGGTTTATCTGACGGGATTCTTACAGTCTATAAAAATCTAAAGATAACTCGAGTCAGGTCAAGATGCACATTGGAAGGTGTGCAAACTTTCTTACCGGGGATTGCGAATCACTTACTGCCCCATGGGGATGAGCCGGCTTCTTGGATAGTTGGAAATGAACCTACCCATGTAAGGAGTTCGGTTGCATTGTTATCGACTCAATATTGGTTACAGTGATGCAGGCCGTAGGTACATTGCAGTGACAGGAATTCAGCACCGAAATTGACAGTGCCGATATATGTCATGATCTGGTCATATCGAAGATAACGCCAATACTGGCACGCTGCTGAAAGTGGAACAGCTCGGATTATATTGACATGTAGGCAGCGAGTGGTGACGCCAAAGCGTTGTTGGATTCGATGCTACGACAGCGATGGTGGATCCAGCAGTCCACGTGCATACTGAGGTCGCCAACTTCCGGGTAGGGAGTGGATGAAATCCATCCACACCGCCCAGGTTTCACATCAATAAAGTAATACAGGACGGACGACAAATTCGGTCCTTGGTCTTCACTCTTCCAGTGTGCGCTTAAGCTACAAGCTGCATTTTCCAGACGAATCCCGATTTAGTCCTTGGCACAGTTGTCAAGTACCGATTGATACGCAAGTTTTCTCAAGGATAAATGAAAGTCTCTACCGGCATGACTGATTACGCAGCGCAGTTATCGCATGTAGGACCTTCGCAGCTGTGCCCAAGATCGATAAGCGCATTTGCAAACACGTGACATTGTCCCAGCTATCCGAAAGTTGTCAGCTAAGGGCACGACATACACGTTTGATTGCCTCTGTAAACGTTCCAACGACAGAACATCCCGCATAAAACTAGAATCGTGAACAACTGAATAGCCGCTTTGACGAAAGGCTCATAACTTTCAAAGCCCCGAATCGGTTGGCATGAAATCTTAGGATGAGTTTACAGCTCGATCGACAGGCAGGTCGCAAAAACTTCTCATGGGAGAAAAACGATCAATAGATTGATACATACACAGTTCCAGTTGTGATCCAGCTGCCGAATAGCAAACTCGTGTTATACTACGTAGTTACTGTCAGTTTTCACATTGATACAACCGTGGTGACAAATCGTACATAAACTTATCGCAGAATGCTCATAATACGACGGTACAAGCGATGCTAAAGAAGCAGAGTACCAAGCCACATTTTATGAGACGTTACAATAAGTTCTATCAAAAGCGAGTTTTTTTCACTGTCTCTGCACCACAGCCTCTTCATACAAAATCCCAAGGCTTTACACTGGAAGCCGAGTTGATGTCACTACGAGTCCAGCTGGCGTCTCACACATGGATGGGGTCTAAAGTACGCGGGATGTCAGATTATCATCAATGACAATTAAAAACACTAGACATCTCAAACTGATCCTGCCAGATTTCACGCGGTTCCGAAAGACGCTTTGTCTAACACATTCGTTCGTTCGTTCAGATGTGGCACCACTTAGGTGCCTAACTACCATGTCTCCAGAAGCGAGCACGAGGGCTGGGATACTGCCAAGTTGCTCAACCCCAGACAGGGGAAGTCGATAGGCAGAAGTTGGGTTCGAACCACGGACCTTCCGGTCAGTAAATTCGCACTCTAACCACTTGCGCCATCTCGCCCCTGTCTGAAACAGATCAAACCGGGATCGGTCAGGACACAAAACTGGCATAATCGCCCTGTTTTGGCAGGCAAAATGTGACGGTCGGATTGTACATTGGGTGCCACCCAACAATAGCGGAGGCAAATAAAATCGAAAGGTGCGTCACCAATGAGGCCGATATTTCGGAATCGACGTGACGTACGAGTCTCGGGTGGGAATGGATTTCGCGGTCTTTGAGTAGATTAATGGTAGCAACTATAGTGATATGGTGTGCGAAACACCATTAAGGAACCCGTCTTACCTTGATTGCCTCCGTTCCGGTTCACTCTGTACCACTCGACTTCTAAGCACTTGTCGATCAGTTTGCTTTTGATTGGAACTTAGGGTGAAGTTGGATTGGTACTCCTGAAGCACCATGATGTGTGCTCTAAGAGTTCGGAATGCTTTTGAGACTTCAGCTACACATCGTTCAAACCGCAACTATTATCAGAACCGAGGTTTCAATCTCTCCCATTCCATCCCAGATGGGGGGACTTTCTCCTCACTTGACTCTACCCTTCATGCGCACTCTAGTCCGCCAAAGTTACCACCATCGTGTTCGCATTTTAAAACGCTGAGAACGCCTGACTGCTGAGCTCAAGATTGCTTAGGCGCGAACTTAGTGACCGGAAGGTCTATGGTTCAAACCCAACCCCAGCATCTCGACTGCTCATCTGGGTCAGGCCATCCTGGCAGTATCTTAGCCCTCGTGCTTTCGTCGGGTGGCATGACAGCTCCTCACCGAAAGGGTGTTACAGTTGAGATATTCTTTTTGGCTATTGGTCAGTTGACAGTTGATTTGACCTCCAAGCTTAGCACCTGGCTTTCATACGTTTCGTCATCATACGGGGAAACATCATCAGTGCGCGTTCAGGTGCGTATTGCTCCCAAGTATGCTTGTTCCTATGCAGTAGCGTTTAACAGTTGTAACGTGATTGCCAAACAACAGCCAATGAAAGAACCCAAGCTCCCGGAGCAGACAGAAGATGTTTTCACTCTTGACCCAGGAATGCAAACCAACTACGTGGATACCTTCCGCTTAGCAAGGCCTGGTAGGGTTTGAGGCGAACCCAGGGACAACAGAAGCAGGTATAAACAGCATTGATGCAGAGATCTTAATAGTGTCTCACACCCTCTCAGCACGCTGCATGCCACGACTTTGTCCTCCAAACATCAGAATTAAATTGATTATACATTCAGTGACTTTAAGTGATACTTGCTGAAATTTCGGATGTTAAAAGTTGAAGAAAGAAGAACAAATCAAGGTAGAAGGCGCTTCACACGCCATAGTAGCCATGGATCAAAATGGTCTGGTTAATCGATTCTTCCAGTCAACCAAAACCAATATTTGAATATGTCGGTATTACTCATGGGTAAGATCATTTTCAGGCCGCAGCTGACGTATACCTGTTGCTTTAAGATTCATCCATCGGTCTTTATGTTCATTTGGACCTAAGCATCACCGCACTGCTCCCAGTGTACCGATCGCTTCGTTATCTGACTCCCGTTTTAGGCTGTATTTGATTGTCTGTTCCACCCAGGTCATCTTCCTTGGCGCGCTCGTTGATTCCGTGGCGATAAAATGCGAGAATCGAACGAGAAACCAATGATAAAGCATAATCAGTGGCCACCGATCGGCAGAACAGTCGCTTATTCGTTGTACATTTTGTCCATCGAGCTCCACCGAATGGCGAAAAGCCTGAGGGAGACTTTCTCCGTAACCCGGGGAGGGATGAGTCTTGGTGTTGCGAACGCGACACTGAAAAGTCACGCGCTATTATTCTCCAATTTGGTGTGCCAAAAAAAGCACTAACCTCAACAAGCATTGACGAGTTATTGCCGAACATGATAGACTCCCGGTGACAGTGAAGCTGACTGATGAGCTTCTGAGGTTTGTTAGCTCATAGGATGCAGGACAATGACGAAAGTGACACGTTTTTTTTCAACCGAACAGGCTAAAGTACGGATCGCCCCGTATAGGCTAACCAGTTGCAGCTGGCGACAAGGCGTTCAGCCCCAAATCGACAACTCTAATGCGTTCGGTGAGATGCGGTCCTCTAGTTTAACAAATCAATTACATGTGGAAAACAGCAGAGTTGAGTAGTAAAAAACATGTGCTAAATCAGAACCATCGATTAAACAGACGCAAACACACATTTGCATTGCTACTCTCCACACACACACACACACACACACACACACACGTGAAACAAGGCAAGTGGATGTTATACGAGATGAGAAACCGTCCAAAACTGGCACCAACAAGTTTGTTACGGTGATCGAGACATTTTGTGGTATTCCCGCGACACAAGCACACATGCGGAATGTGTGTAGTTCAGATATACCTGAATAGACTAGCCAACCACTGATTAAACACATATTATGAACTGTTGGACTCACATTTTTCTACTTTGGACCGCTCCACATCGTAGGTTAACCGCCGATTTTCAGCCTTCTTGCGCAACGCCTGGATGATAAAATAAGATAAAACGGGAATGTCGAGACTTTGAGTAACCCGACGACAGTGCAGCATGGTTCTCACAGGGAGTGGAATGAATCTAATAGGAGGAATATGGCAGGTAATATCATTCTGAGAAGCACCAACAGTAGCGGCAGATATACACCGTGTACAGCTCACGCAGTAGTCTTAGCTGTCAGTTTCCTTTGCCAGTAACTTGAGAAATGCCACGCATTGGAAACAGTTATCGATATGTTCCCTTAGAGACAAATGCAGCAGACACGATAGGAAGGAGAGCTAAAGAGGCACATAGTAGTCTCGAGAACAAACCACTCGTGGAAAACGGAGCAGACGGTCTAAGTTTGGAGCGATTATTCATTGGGAGGGTGAAACCACCTATCAATCACAGAAACGCTAAATTCGGATAATGATATAATGCTACATGTTGTGCCTTATTGTTGGGATCCTTTTTTAGTCAAACATAAGTAGTATATGTGCTAACCATCCTAACCGGATAAGCCTTCCTTGCTGCTAAAATGGATCCGGCTCACTACCTAGTACGCATTTGCGGACCGTTTCATGACGTACGCGCTACAGTCACTTAGAGCTTGCTGGGGAAATCGGTTGCAGACGTTTGGGTTCTTCAGCTAGGACAGACCACAGAATGTGGGACTCTCACAGCCCTTTTGTAGACACGGTTCTTCACACTCATAAAGTCGTCAAGGGTGACATACGTTGGCAAATATCACCTGTGCGCCTTGGTCGTCACGATTTGATCATCACCAAACCAGAGCTCCTCATTTTAAAGATTCAAAAGGGTAGTATACAGGAGTGGAAAGTCCTGACTTTTTCCTAGAATCTCACAAATGTTAATCCGGAGACCCTGATGTTCAACACTAACGGCATTCACACGCCCTCTGCGTGTAGAGACCATGTTTCTGATCCACAAAGCAATATGAACTGCCATAGTGTATACTTTGACAGACTAAGTGACGTCAATCCAGCAAAAGCTGCCCTGTCCTTCTCGACTCGAGACGTAATGTGGTACTCAACAAGGCCACTAGCCCAGGTAAACTAATTTATCGATTGGCCCGTCTGCAAGCATGAGGTTTGGGTTCAATCCCACCCAGTCTTCTAGCAGCAAGTCACACTTTGCAGGTGTAAAGTGTGCAACCACATACAAAACCCTGCATCTCTAGAGAATCCTTGAACCGATAAGAGGAACATTATCCTCATACTAAACGTTTGTGAGCAAATGCCCCGAAAGCATTTCGACCGCAGAGGCAGGCACACGAGCAACATGTCAATACCAAGGTTAAGAAGGAATGGTGGCGATAGACTGGTCTTACACCACTGGATATGACGAACTCGGGGAAAAGCCTGCTGCATACCAGTACGCGCCGAGAGGATCCCGCATACAGAGCCCTCAAAAGGTACATCCTTGATCGCCGGACACCGCCACAGTTTCTGACGACCGACAGAGTCAAAAGCAGCTTTCAGGTCAAGAAGAACGTTTAACAGAGTGGTTCTGTTTAAGAACTTTCCGCAAAATAAAGATACCGCTCACCCATCCTAAGCCAGGGTGGAACCCAGCTTGATTCTCACGAATCTGTCTCTCTCGATAATCCATCAACCTGCACAAAATAATGCCAGATAGCACCTTAGATGCAAAGGATACCAGGGTGATAAAACGATGCTTTTCGTGTGACATTCTTGTGTCCTTTTTGAAGACTGGAATGACGGTGGAGGAGCTCCATCCGGCTGGTTTTCTGTTTTCTTTCCAAATCCTCTGCAGTATGGTGGTCCGGCTGTTCACCCAAGATTCACTACCTTCTTTAAGAGTGCGGGGTGCAGACCATCGGGCCAAGTGCTTTGCTGTGTCGGAGGAAGGATATTTCAAGCTGGATTTAAGTTGTTGATCGCGGGATGGTGTCAGTGTTCCCTTCAGATTGGTTGGCCTCTTTGAGAGGTTGTGTTGAACGAGATTAACTGAGCTGCTCTCTAAAGTACCAAGCACTTAGCTCAAGACGACGATTCTGTGAATGAACTGTCGTTCCACCTTTTCACAAACTGTTCCACTGACATCCATGTTCTTCTGGCCTGTTGATCGAATCAGTTGAAATATGACGCGGCTGTTGCCTGCAGAAGAATCTTTGTCATTCTCTTGGGCGTTCTTTCATTGTTCAGGGTCTTGAGTATCCGGCTTTTGAGGGATCCGCGTGCGCCGACGTGAACATCAGTTGTTGGTGTGGCTTTCCTAATGGTAATAAGATTTGCTGATCACGATGGTATCCAGAACTGACTCAGCTGTCACCATCCACTTGATAGCTGAGAGACACCTGATCAAGTGTGATATACGGTGCCGCAAAATCTCGACGTATGTGCAGAGGTGCTGCGGTGAATCACTCACACGTCGCCCTCGTGTTCTAACAAGTCTGATGGAGTCAACAAATGTTGTTTGGTCCGGCCTACTCCATTGAATAGAAACGTGACGGAGGCGCGAAACAGCGCAGGTGACACGACAACTCGGCCTCGAGGTCAGGTGTAGAATATGCATATGGTGACACACGCGCGAAGGCGGCGTGACACGCAGGATATTCCCACCAAACACATCACGTATGACACCTCTGGCGCACCGCCTTGGTAGTGTTTTATTGTCAGTCGTAAGATCATCCTCGGTGGTCGAAACGTCGGACAGTTTCGTCTGATATATCCCCTATGTGGTCACCAGTATTTTCACTGAACCCAGTGTTCATTTGGATGAGAGTGTCCAAGTGTTAAGAGCGCGAATTTACAGACCGGAAGGTCCGAGGTTCAAATCCCACCTCCGCCTCTCGACTTCCCCTGTCTAGGCTTGGGCAACCTGGCAGTATCCCAGCCCTCGTGGTTCCTTCGGGTGGGATGACAGCTAGGCACCGGAAAAGTGCCACAGCTGAACGCTTTGGACAGACCGTCCTAAAATCTGACAAAATGGCTCGTTTGCATTCAACCCCCAACCAATCCCCGCGACCCACGTAGCTGTGCGTTTGCAGAACCTTTCCGGGTAGACCGGAGCTATGCTGCTGACCTACAGAAACTCACGGAACGAATCTGTTCTGCTTATGTGTGATGCTGACGGAAAGCGAAGTGAAAACGGATCCCGCAGCCATTCTGGGAGTAATGTCACGTGACCGGAGTGAAGTGATCTAAATCGTTTTCGCAAGGAGAGGCTTCTGTTGAGGACACTATATACTTACTACTGTAGATAGTGGTAATCAACCGGCAGACAATTTGAGTTGTCATGCCCACAGAATGGGCACGCAAGACACTGATCATACCAATCTTCGATTGGTGCAATGGATCCGTGAGTCGGAGCTAGTAAACGTGTGTTGAGTACTCAGCCGACATTCTCCCCTACACCACGCGGAATGTTTCAAAGGCATTGATTGTCAAGCAATACGGGATTTTTCCCGGAGTAATCATGAGGATGTTGCAAGTAAATAACAGTCAGCATCGGTTGTCGGAGACGATCGAACATCTCCGCGGGCTCAAGGGAATAGCATAGTGGACAATGACTGGGCTCTGTTTTACACTCCACTCCTCAGTCACACAAATTCTGATGTACTAATCAAATGAGGAACCAAAGAAAACCAAAACCGTCACGTCCTAACAAAAATCAACACAACAAAGTTCCCACGTCTTAGCGGAACAGGTGTGGTCTTGCTCAAACAGGTATATGTGCGATAATACTTCGGAAATGTTGACCACTCGTCACCGAATGGCGCATCATAGCCATACTTACAATAATTTCCTTGATATCCTGCTTTAGTGTTTCCGAAATCAGACTGACGAAACGTAAGCGAGCCTCCTCCACGGCACGTTTTTTAGCCTCCGTTAGTTGCCAGTAGCCCTCTCCAGCTGAAAGCAGTGCACTCCCTACAGCAATGGAAAACAACAGGGGTTAGCTGGCAGTCGCCATTAATGAAACAAGCAATACCAACCTAAAATGTAATCAGATGACCTAAAATGTGATAATTTGTTGCCTTGTGCGACGAACGAAGGGTCTCATACGTGCTAAACACAACAAGGACATCAGTCACATGTTATGCTCATTCGCCAGACCGGTCGCTCTTAACCTCCTTTTACCGGCCAACTAAACTAATATGACGGAAAACAAAAATCTACAAACTGGTTCCATTTTTTACTGGGTTGTTTCGTCCCAACGATTCGAAATGAATTTTTGTAGGACATGCTTTTAGGATTTGGCACAAAATTTGGTAGAAAACCGAGGTGAGCACTTCCATGTGGGTGCCTCACAATTGTCTATCGCTCATTACGCCTTCAAAACTCGGCATTTTAGTCAACATCTAAGGAAACCACGTAGCTAGAACAATACACACTCCTGGTGTTCATTTGAGCATTTTGTACATTGCAGATGGCACCAGATACTCAGTGAAACCTTTTGGCAGAAATGTTTGTAACTAAAAGGCGCAAACATTTCAGAGAGGTTTGGTAAACAATCGGTGGAGTTATTGCTGGGCAACGTTTCGCTTTTGACACAAAAGCTTCGTCAGGCCAAGTGAGTAATTAAGTAGGCAGATTGGGCTTTAAGGCGATCAGGGAACCAATCCGTGAGATTTCTTATGACTAGCCGACTTGATCAGAGCTGGGTGTTTAGTCTGTTGTTCCTGTTTGTTGGTTAGTGGGGATGACTAACATTTACTATAGATTGGTTAGGGGGGAGGATTAGTTTTCAACTCAGATGTCTCGTCCCTGATTTTTCAGTCTAGGACATCTTATTGGAAAATTCGTTCACCTGTGTTCGTCAAAGGGTGCTGCGACAATTGGTTTAGGGATGGGGGTGGGGTGGTTAATTGGATCTAACTCTACTTGGATTCTGTACTTTTGGGCTCAGGCCATTTCGCTGAAAACTGCACACCGCCTCGTGTCATCTCGGCTGATTTAAGACCGCTCTCCACACGTTTGCAAATTCTACCCCCTCCACTCTATTCACGCTGGGATTCTTGGCGATTTCCACCGCCTCGGCCACCAGTCGCCGTGGTGTAAAACTTAAACCCCGTCTCAGAATGTTCTCTCGTCCACGGAGAGTTGCGTTCGTTCTGGCAGAGTTGTGTCTGCCAATAAAAGTCTTCTCGCTACTTCCACAGCGTCCGCTTTAGGGACATTGGTATACATCGAGTTGACATCAAAGCTAACCAGGATTTCGTCTAGCTCTAACTGAAACCCAGCTACTTTTTTTTAGCAAATTCATACGAATCTTGGATGTGTGGGGGACTTTCCGGCAAGTGGTTTAAGGATACCTGCTAGAAATCTGGCCAGCTCGTGTGCTGGTGAACCCATGCCATCCACTATTGGTCTTATGGGGACACCTTCCTTGTGAATTTTTGGTAACCCGTAAAGTCGTGGTTGGATTGCACTTTTTGGGTAAAATCGATGCCACTTGCCCTGCCCCAGATGGCGTAAACTTTTCAAGTTATCTGCCTTAGGATTGCTGTCCGATTAGTGGATCGCTAAGGCTGTCTGCCTCCATCAGCAGCCTTATCCGAGATAGTTCCAGAATCTACGATCAAGGAACCACATCTCTTCGCACAGGATACGCCATTGAATAACGACTGCAGGACGTGTGAGCACCCAAGTGACATTTAGTAATACATTGTTTAGCAAAGGCGCATTCTTTGAGAATGTTGACCCACGAGAGAGGCATTTTACAGATTCCTGTTCGGGTTAACACAATCGAGCCACCCTTTACATACTTGAAGTGACCGTCAACATCAAACGCTGTAATAACACTCAAGTTTAGGAGAAAACATTTTGAGAACAGCCGTTATTTGCAGTCTCGTGTGATCGACTTGATCATATGAACTCTAAAAAGGATTTGTTGAAGCTCATCAAATTCTCTGCTGAGAGTCAGTATGACGCGCAGTGACGAGTCGATCGGCGACTCGTTCCGGCTTACCGGAACTCCACCGCTTCACGTACTGTAGGACAAGTTCGAAGCGGCACATGTGCTTGCGAACTGTCAGACACGGAAGAAACTGCGCCAAGCCCACATTTAGCTTGTTTGGATCTAAAGCTGGAACTTCACTCCCTAACTTTCGGTAACTCTATATAGAAAGAACTCTATCCTCGGATATGCTCCGAAAATAAATTTATGCAACTTCTTGGACAAACGGATCCTCAAACAGCCGGTTATTCGCTCCTCAGTTCACCGGACACTAGTATCAAGCGATGATATACTTCCCCTCTCTCCTGTGTAGCACCCTCATCGTCGAATGTTTGGTTTTTCAAAAATTCGACTAGATTATCTATCGCTTTGATTTAGGTTTTTTTCAGAAGAGTGGTGGAATTCGCAGTGGTGAAAATTTCCTGACAGATGAGCGGGTAAGTTGTTCTTCAACCTCAGCGATGTGACGGCTGTAGAATGAAAAATTCGCATGACTAAGCTGTTATGAAAAAATTGGACTTCGCGCTTGTGCACGCATGCGGATTTTAATCCCTGGAGCTCATTTGAGTTACCCATAAAAAGCCTAACAAACCGAACTCGAAAAACGGAGTGAAAAATTCTTAGGACGTGGCAACATTAAGGAGTATTAAAATGGTAAAACACAACAAAACCCATGAAGGTAATAAGACTAGAAAGAACGTTTTTTCAGTCAAACTCGGAAAGCATTCTCAGCGGTTTTTAAGGACAGCCTACTCCAACCCCATACTAACTTGTGTTTAACCCCTAAGAGGGGTTAGTAACTTCAAAATGATAAATATAAATAGTAGCTCAGCTGTAAAACCCTTTCTGTGCCTAGCTCCCACGCCACCTGAAGGAACCAAGAGGGCTGGGATACTGCCGGGTTGCCCAAGTCTAGCCAGGGGGAGTCGAGAGGCAGAGTTCGGGTTCGATCCACGGACCTTCCGGTCAGTAAATTCGCGCTCTAACCACTTGGTCCATCTCGCCCCACTTCACCACACTAGTGAATCTGTTGGTGTATTAATGACGGTATTTCAACATACGATTACTTCATGACTAAACCGATAAGATGATGATGATTCACCACGTTTTTGATATGTAACTGCAGCCCCGACTGCAAACAACTTGAACTGCAGCAGAGTCAAATCACCGTTATCGATCCAACCCATGCAGGTCACGTGATGACTGCATGAACACGAGTAACACACTGAAGGGCAATCTTACGAATAAAACCGATTAGGATTGAACAAATATACTTGAATCCACCCTTTCTCCCCCAATCGTTCCACCTCCAGCCTCCATCTACAAATCGACTCCATCTATATCCCGCAGTTTCCAGTGCTTCTGCTTTCAGTCACCTCACGCCAAACTAGCTGCAACTCAAGCCACCACAAAAGTTACGTTTTTGTTTTCTTCACCACAATTTTTCCATGCATCTTGACAGTGTCTCAGCTACAAACCATGGATTCAGCTCATCATCGAACTCTGTTGTCACGTTTGCAATAAGGCTTTTCACTCACCTCTGCCACATTAACACCACTTCCGCCAATGGGACGTAGATCCCATCTGGAAGTTTGTTGTTAGTAACAAGGTAAATGAACTCTGAACTCGCATCTTCCATTCCGCTCAAGTTATCCACCCGTACAGTCCACTTCTCCCTATCAAGACCACCTCATCACGTGAGAATCCCACTGCCACATTGAAGCATTTTACCTTCACTTCCCCCAAGACAGCAAGCGTCGAATCCTTTTTTCCCATTCTCCCAGTTTCGATCTCCGGAAAACGGGACATGAACAAAGCGCCAAGCCCTGAAGGTGATGGCGTGTTCAGTTAATTCGGGAAATGAATAGCTACACATTGAAGGCGATAGCTTTGATGCACGAGCGCCACTGACTGCGCGATTGGGTCTGCCAGTGTCATTAACCATTGGTGAGTTGAGTCCCGGGGTCCCCATCCAGGGAGGCGGCCGTTGCCGACCCGGATAAGTTTACTGACTAGTGTTTGCGTACTTCGCTGCCAGGTCATACATTGTCCACCTCTCGGTCGCTTCTACTCAGCACAGGGCTGGACAAAAAGAGCTATGTGAGGTAGACGGTCTTATTCTTCCAAACAGAAAAAAAAACATTGAACTGAGTTCAGCTGTAGCACTCTTCCGGTGCCTAGCTGCCATGTTACCCGAAGGAAGCATGAGGGCTGGGATACCGCCAGGTTGCCCAAGCCTAGACACGGGAAATTGAGAGGCAGAGGTCGGGTTCGAACCACGGACCTTTCGGTCAGTAAATTCGCGCTCTAACCAGTTGAGCCATCTCGCCCCTGAACTGCGCAAGGCTCTGATTAACGCCTACCTTTTTACTTTTTCCCGAGTATAATTTACGTTTGATTACGTGTTCTATATGTTGCCTGCACTGTCTTTCAACATCAATTAGGCCTACTGAAGAGTTCTAGTCAATAGTTTTGTTTACAGACAACAAAGAGGTTGAAAGGCAGTTACTCGTACCATTCAGACACCGGTCCGCACCGTCCTGGACTTACTGTCCAGAACTGCACGCTCTTCGTATCGGTCGCGCTGAGGGAAATCGCCCTAATGGATAAATGCTATCATGTAAGCCAATCGACTAAGTCTCAAATCACGTGCCCCATCACTGGGGCAGTATTCAACAACCGCAGACGCAATGCGAAAGTTTGCTGGTTTGGACATCCATGCTTCACTGTATGATTGCAATAATTAGATTGAAAAAACTATGCGGTTAAAAACATAGAAACACAGTAATCTTCCAGTAAAGAGAGGTCACTCCACGATGGAGCTCTTAAAAGCGTTCCCCGTCAAACTCGACCCAATTCGGGCTCTTCTCTCCCGAAGAAAACCCTTCACTTGGCGGTTTGTTTCGAAACTGGTATAGTAGCAATATGTATTGGTGATTGTAGTATTGAAGGTGGTAGTGTCATCATTTTG